CCGAGAACAGACTATCTTCAGATCTCCAGATATAGGCTGTCCATACAAACTTTGCACTCGTCACTTTGATTTATTTTGAGATAAATAAAAATTATTACACACTGTATCTAGTCCCATTTTTCTTCAACTTAGTCAAAGTCAGAACTCAGTTTAACTCCTGGTACATTTCATGGTCATTCCTTGTTATTTATGGCAACTACCCCAAAGGTAAGTTATTGTACTTCAAAATACCACTCAGACCCATCTCTTAAAATCAAATTAGTTATCTAAAATATTTTTTAATGTTTTGATTGTCTAAATTAATTGTTAAATTATGTTTCAGTAGCAGCGCGAGTGTATATCTTATTTAAACTTTGATGTGTATATATTTATGGGCTAAAAGCCGGTGAAGCAATGAAACCAATAGGCCTAATAGATTGCAGATGTGTGATTATTCTCTCTATATTTACATCCGTCTTTGTCTAGTAAGAATTTAAATATTTTGACCAAATGAGGGGTTCCGATATTAAACTAAAGGCCTCCTGGGCTCTGATATTGGCAGACAAAAATTGATTTAAAAATACTATTATTTATATGCTTCTAATGAAAAACCTGTAAAGTGCCAATTACGAGATATCTAGAAATAAAAACATCTGCGTTCTAGTGTAACTGTTATAACTACTAGAGGACATCCCCCCAGTGGGGCAGCGGTAAGTTTCAGACTTACACTGCTAAAACCCAGGGTTTAATTCTGTGTTGTGGACACAGCAGATAGTCCAATGTGGCTTTACTATAAAACAAACTATTGGGCCTATTGATTTAATTGCTTCGCCGTCTTTTGGCGTTTAAAGCCATACACTAAATGTTTTGTACTGGGTAAAAACAAATAGCATTTACAAAACAAGTTTTTGTATGCTAACATCTTTAGCCCAACTGACGAGTTCTGGTGGTCAACGAAAAGCTTCCAGTGTGACAGAAAAACAAAACAACATATGATTAAAATATTGTTTTTAAATGTCTATAATTTTGCCGTAATGAACTAATGAATAGGAATGTAAAATACTCTGTAGTTAAGTTCGATTTTTATGATTTTACTAGCTGGAGTACCGTTCGTTGGATGAGCGAAACAAAAACTTGTTTATAATAAAGGATGGGAAATTGTGCTTCTATTTTTTCTGAACGTAATAAACATTAAAAATGCATAAAGGTACCAATATTGAACAGAAAGACATACCGTTTTCAAAAATTCTATCAATATGAAATTAGATGGGGGTCCATCCTCTCATATCATCTTGTATCACTGTGTCAAGTTTGGTGCTGATTGATCAAGAACTGTGAAGCGTATAAGGAACATATACACATACATATTGATGTGTATTTAAATAGATAGATTAGACATATTAGTTTGATTTATATAACTGTAAACTTTATCTTTACTGTCTTTTTCTTTTTTAATTCACGAGCTGTATCACGTTAACCAATGAGGCGCGCTTTGTTTTGAGCGCAGACGATTAATATTAGTAGTTAGCGGGTTTATTCTGTAGGCCTATGTGTAGCAATACTATAAAGTCTTAATAGAGTTATTAGTAAGTATTCGTGGTTTATTTCGTTCACACTTGTAGTCTTTTGTATAATTTATATCTATCTAAGAAAAATTGGCTTTTCTTCATGGTTTTGATTATGAAATTAGCTTTATAAATTTTTAAAATCAAGTATAAAATTCATGTAAATTAGTCGATTACTAATACTAGATTAGGGCTAGTAGTAGTAAGTTGCTTATATTGGAAAATAACACATAGGCTAATGTCATTGTAATTCTCTGGAGCCTAAAGTTATATCTTAAATTTGGTCATACTCTAATCATAATTAAAACAGCTTATTGCTAACACCACAACACATACTGGAAGTCAACTATAAAGATAAAGTCTTGATATATGATAACGTAACTGTTATTGTTAGTTTGTTCTTTGTTTTTTTTTTCATTTTCATGCTTTATTAAACTCTATACAACCTAACGTGTTGTTAGGCCTGCTAGGCTTTGATTTAACACTACTAAGTAATAAAATCGGCAAGTTCGTGGTTTAGATCTAACGCACACCTAAAATATATAATTTTTGTAAAATATAAATGTTAATTGCAGTTTGGAGTTTAAGAATAATCTTCAAAATACAACAGTGTATTATACCTACAAATATATGATTATAACTAATGTTTAGCCTACATGCATAGATATACATAGTATTGGCACTCGTTAAAGTAGAGCAGTATGCTTATCGATAAGGAAAGAAATGGCAGCATGACATACGTGCAAAAACAAATTCTACTGCTGAAAAACACCTTACTCACACCTCCTTGGTTTCAGTGTCTCTGCAATTATAGCGCGACTATATTTCATATAATTTCAAACACCAATCTAATTTTCTAACACCCCCTCCTCAGTGCATGCATACTGGCACCTTTTCCAAGCCATCCTAGACACTGAGTAAGCTTAACTTTTAGATTAAGCTTCAGTTAATTATTATGGTCTTCTTCCCATTTCTGAGGGTTGTCGACTATGATTCTTCATTGTTTCCCATTCCTCTCTGCATTCACCAGTTTTCTTTATTTGATTATATTTCTCATCTCCAATCCATTTTTGAAGTCACCTATGAGTTTCTGCCTCCCTCTGGCTTTACTTTCTTAAGAAACTTTGCTAAATGTCCCTCAGATCTAATTATTTATCTATTGTCGTTCACATTCTAACACTTACTCATTATTTATCTTGGGTCTTAGCACTTTATTAAAATTAAGTTAGGTATAATCTAGATGACTTGTTGTTTTGAAATATGATATAATAAATGCTAATTCACGGTAATTTGAGTAAGATGTATATTTTTTTTTCCAGGTAATACAAAATCATGACCAGTTCTAGCGATAGTAGTAAGTATTTAATTAATTTTTAAAGTTTTTCTCTCTTTTTGCCACAAAACTATGATAATTATTTTATTTCAATTCTAATTTTAAAATTTTCATAATGTCTTTTTTTTCCAGCATAATTTTAACATTTAGGTTTCTAAACACAGTTATGATTCAATTCTTTAATTAAAAAGGACTGATTTTTGTATTAAGCACAAAGCTACACAGTAGGCTATCTGTGCCGTGCCCAACACACGTATCGAAACATAGTTTTTAGAATTATGAGCCTTCAGATTTACCACTGGAATGGGGGTGAGGGGCAATTAAAAAGGAAACTGTGTGAAGTTCTAAAATTCTTTAATAATAAAATTTAGTTTCGGGCAAGTAATCTGTCGTTGGGAGGTTTTTTTTTATAAATATTTAGTAGAAAGTAATGTAAGATCCAGTCCACGTAACAATATCAAGTTAATTTA